ACAGAAGCAGGTTAGTTCCGGTGATCTTGTCCGACGAGAAGACATGTTGGCTCTTTCCAAGGTTTTACGGAGGTTGATTTCTTGTTCTACCGTTTGATTCTTAATCTTGCTATTCCATTTGTCTTCTCTTAACCTGAAATTGGATTTAAAAATGTTTTCTTTTAGAGATTAACTGATAACTAGACCTTTGGATGCGCCGTTGAAATGCTTCATTTCTGCTTTTTTAAGTTGTATTGGCACTTAGAGAGTTTCAGGTATTTGAGTAGCTTCTATTATTTGTAATGTTTCAGAAGCCAGAGTCTCCGATTAGGAGCTTGCAATGCTGTGTACTACTCTAAGCTAGAGATACCAATTGGAGAAAGGAACGGTGCTACTGGATCCAACGCTTTGATACATGAAAAATACGAATCTTTCCCTAGATTTTACGAGCTCTCTTGGAGTTCCTCTACTGGAAGACGTTCACTTTCCTCGGAAGCTGGGCCTAAAAGTGTCGGAGAGGAAGATTCAGACCTTGAAACTCCAAATAAGACTAGTGGTGGTAGTGAAGATGGGCTTCAGTCTGAGGAGGAGTTGTCTAGTGATGAAGGTGACATTGAAAGAGCAGAAATGGAACTAGATGTAACTGACTCGGAGGCTGGAAAAATGACGGCAAGCAAGAGATCATCGGAACTGTTTAATGCCATTGTTTCTGTCTCAGGTCTGTCTGTAGAGAGTGCGCTTGATAAATGGGTGGAAGAAGGGAAGGAGATCAACCGCACAGAGATTGGAAATGCGATGCTACAACTCCGTAAACGTCGGATGTATGGGAGAGCCTTGCAGGTACATATTACTTTTTGTTACAACGTGAACTGAATATTAATGTCAATCAATTTGTTGAGCATCAAAGAAACTTGCTTGGTTCTCACTTCTCAGTAATGCTTTCTGTTTGGTCTCTAGACTTTAGACTTCTCTGCTTTGTGTTCTGTCTAAGTGTTTCCAGTATGCTCGTTTATGCGTCTTGTTGTTTGTTTGTATAGATGACAGAATGGTTGGAGGAAAATAAGCAATTTGAATTTGATGAGAAAGATTATGCTGCTCGGCTTGATCTGATTGCCAAAGTACGTGGCGTGCACAAGGGAGAACTTTATCTCGAAAGAATCCCGGAATCTTTCAGAGGGGAATTGGTTTACCGTACTGTGCTCTCGAATTATGCGGCAACAAGCAATGTGACGAAAGCAGAAGCAGTTTTCAACAAAATGAAGGACTTGGGATTCCCTCGGACGTCATATGCCTGTGATCAGATGATTACTCTTTACAAGAGGGTCAACAAGAAGAAAATAGCCGATGTGTTATTGCTGATGGAGAAGGAAAATCTAAAGCCGAGTCTTTACACGTACAATATCCTACTTGACACCAAAGGATCATCAAATGACATAAATGGGATGGAACAAATTATGGAGTTAATGAAAAGTGAAGGTGTTGAGCTTGATCTCCGTGCACAATATATTATTGCAAGACACTATGCATCAGCTGGGCTTAAAGAGAAGGCTGAGAAAGTGCTGAAAGAGATGGAAGGTGAATGCTTGGAGGCTAATCGGCATGTGTGTAAGGATTTGCTTCCCATTTATGGCTCTCTCCAAAGGGAGGATGAGGTGACAAGAATTTGGAAGATCTGTGAAGAAAACCCCCGTTTTGACGAGTCCCTTGCTGCAGTCCTGGCTTTTGGAAAGATCAATAAAGTCAAAGAAGCGGAGGCGATTTTTGAGAGGATCTCGAAGATGGGCCATAGAGTTTCTTCTAGTATTTACTCCGTTCTCTTGAGGGTTTACGTGGATCACAAGATGGTCTCAAAGGCTAAGGATCTTGTTAAGCAGATGTCGGACAGCGGGTGCAATATTGGCGCCTTAACATGGGATACACTGATTAGGCTCTATGTTGAAGCTGGTGAACTAGAAAAGGCTGATTCTTCGCTGGTCAAGGCAACACAGTCAAAACACATAAAACCGTTGATGACCTCCTTCATGTACGTGATGTGCGAGTATGCAAGAAAGGGTGATGTTCACAACACAGAGAAGATCTTCCAGAAAATGAGGCAAGCTGGCTATCAATCTCGCTTTAGGCAGTTTGACGCCCTTATCCAGGCTTATGTCAATGCCAAAGCCCCAGCTTATGGAATGAAGGATAGAATGAAGGCTGATAACTTCTTCCCCAACAGCGGTTTGGCTGCTCAGCTCGCTAAAGCCGATCCCTTCAAGAAGACGCCTCTCTCCGATATCCTGGATTGAGTTATGTTGCTGTTAATCTTCCGCCTTGTGTTAATCTTTGGTTTGATCGATCCACCTTTTATCCATGTTAGTTGAGACTTCAGTAGCTTCTTAGTTAATCAAGGCCCCCTG